AGGTTCGAGGCTGTGTCGACCGCGAGACCGCGTTCTGCGGGGGTCGCGTACAGTTTCGCACTGCGCCAGGAACCGAGAGCGAGGTAGGGAGCCTTAGGCGTGGATCTACGATGCAGTCGACTAACATGCGAGTGACCTTAGAAACATGTCCACGTCGTACTCTGTGGAGTGATGATTCCCCTACTTAGCCGCGACCCCCACTTCGTGTAATGATTATGCTTCGCCGGGGAACATGTTAGAGTCGCCCGCGATGATGTATGGTGGGCAGGCCTGGGGCCTGGGGGGGGGCCTGGGGGGAGCTTGGGCTCGCCTCGGCCTCGGCCGGGAGGGCGAACCGCGGCGAGAGCCGTGAACCTCAGGTGCGGGATAGGAGCGGAGAAGGGGAGAGGGAGAGGGAGAGGGGGGAAAAGTTCAAGGGAGGGAAATACACCCCGGCCCCCACAGCTGGCGTTCACTAAAGAGACCTGGGCGTTTACGAAGCAGCCCCGCTCTGCTCGATCCCTTCCTGAGGTGCGTTTACTACAGGGCTTCGCTTGTCGGGGTGCCCACGTATTGTGGGGGTGGCTACTCTGCCCTCTAGACATGGAGATGGAAGTGGCGCAGTTTCACCACAGCCGCGTCTCTCCCCCAGGACGGCTGGAGCCATGTGTTTTAGCCCGCCCATCTGAGCGGCAGCTGCCTCACTGCCGGCTTCACTGCTTGCTTGTTCCTTCTCCTCCTGCCCATTGCCTGGGCGCAAGGAAGAAGTTGGTCGCCAGAGGTCACCAGAGGCCTCTCGACCAAAAAGGATCCTCCGCCAACCCTCCTTCCTCGTTCCTCCTCCTGCTCCTTCTCATCCTCCTCGTCATCATCACCGTCGTCATCATCATCATCACCATCATCACCACCATCATCAACATCATCACCATCATCATCATCAGCAGCATCATCATCATCTTAAACACATTATACGACACACTTTATGCGCACAAGTGCGGTTACATGAACACACACGATTGGAGACCGCGGGAATACAATGCAACAGCAGACCGGCTATGCAATCTCGCCATGGACACGCATACAGATTTGCAGTCAACCCTCGTGCATGACATCCATGGGGCTCTTGCGCGCGGAGCGGCTCTGCAGGTCTATTCGGACGGTGGGCGCCGGCATGACGGCGCAGCTGCCGCTTATGCCGTTTTCTTGGTCGATGTCCGCACGCACGAGTTGCAACTTGCTGTGGTGAATGCGCTGTTTGTGAACACTCCCGCAACTGCTTTTGCCATGGAGGTTCTTGCGGCAGACAGGGCGATACAATTTATCAAAGATATTGGAGATCGATTTTTGCATGTACCTTGCAAGCGAGCTAGATTTGCTTAGTGTTGGCATGTTCCGTTCTCGTTGTAATGACATACTGACTTCTCGTAGTAATTGCTGTTGTTTCACTGGCAACTCGAACAGGGGCGCGTCATCAGAAAAAAATAATCAGCAACAGCATCATCATCCCCTCCATCATCAGCATCATCATCGTCATCACCATCATCATCAGTAGCATCATCATCACCATCATCACCATCATCATTACCATCAAGCGAGGAGCTCTGGCTGGGTGCTTTGCTCCGCTGCTGGGCTTGGCGCTGTCGGTCTACTCAGGACCACGCCGCATCAAGCTCGAGACGGCGGTCGGGCCCCTGGGCGCCTGAGCGCGGGGCTGGTGGCTGGTTGCTCGCGGACTGGCCACCTCCTCAGGAGCCGTGATCGTCATGGCAGGCGAGCGCCCGAGGCTGTGGCGGGAGCTGAAGCCCAGGGTCCACCTGGACATCGTGCTCGACGACACCACCCTCAGCGCCCACGGGCACAGGACAGGCATCTGCGCACATTTGGCGGCGGCGACCGAGACGGCAATCAAGAAGCTGGAGGAGCTTGGCTGCCAGATCCCGGCGTCCAAGTGCGAGGCGCTGGCGTCGGACGAGGACACGGCGAAGACGCTGCCGTGGGAGTTGAAAAAGAGTGGCATCATATTCCCGCTCGTCGAGGAGGCGAATCATTTGGGGGTCGATTTCGCGTTGCACCAGAGTGGCGCGTTCAGCGTCATGCACGCCAGGCACAGCCAGCTGAACAAGAAGTTGCCGAGGATCACGGCGGTGCGGAGGCAGTTCAAGAAGGCTGCGGAGCACCTGACGGTCACGGAGCTGCGCACTGCAACCCGGTACGGAGCAGCTGCTTCGGCACGGTCAGACGCGCGGCTGGAGAAGCTGAAGGGCAAGGTGGGCAGCATCCATTTCGGCAGCGGGCGAGGACGCTCGCTATCGCTGGGGCTCCTGCTGGCCGGGGATCAGCCATTTGACCCCTTGTTCGAGCACGTGTGGATGCCCATCCAGTCCTGGCACGGGCGATCCAGGCACGGAGGGGTGACGAGGAGGGGCGCATGCTCGGGAGCGCCTCCGCCGCCAGCGCGAGGAGGCTCCAGGAGGAGTGCCGAGGAAGCCTCACGTGGCGTGGGCCTGCCAGCGCGGTGGTCCTGGCGTGCGCACGCCTAGGATGGACCTCCACCAGACCAGGAGCCTTCGAAACGGACGTTGGGGAGGGTGCAGAAGGTGCTCGAGCAGGGCGGGCACACGCTCAAGACGGAGGTTGCGCGGGTCCCACAAGCGGGCGCTTTGGAGGCAGGCGGCCGCGAGTACAGGGCTTACCGCCGTAAGAGACGGAGGCGCAGCCATCAAGCACATCAAGCAGGAGGTCCCCAGGCGCACCGACGTCCAGAAGGTGAGCGCGGCGCGATCATCCAACGCAGATCGCGTTCATGTGGTGCCTGTGGCTAGTGTGGCGGCCAGCTGCGCTGGACGCCCCGCTCGCGGCGTCGGGGGACTGCCCGACTGGATCCCCAGCTCGCGGGGCGACGAGGCAGCGGGCATGGAGCTGCGCAGCCACCAGGACCATGAGGAGCCAGCTCGTCAAAGGCCTCGGGGAGGACGACGAGATGGCGGGGCTGGTGGCCATCGGCGCGGCCAGCGACGAGGAGAACCCGCTCTGATCGCGAGGCCTTGGGCCCTCGGGACTGCAGGGCTGCCCCTTCCACTCGGCGAGGAGGACCGCTGTGCGGCGACCTGTTCGTGGACGGCTCCGCCCTGAGGCCGCAGTGGAAGGACGCGGCCCGCACGGTTTGGGCGGTCATCACGCTGTTGTCGCGGGGCCGCAGGCTCGACCAGGGGCTGCTGGGCACCGCGCGCTATCTTAATCACTGCCAAGGGCTCGGGGTCGGCCAAGCTGATGGCGGTGTACGAGGCCACGCAGGCGGCGCCGGGCCACGTCCGCAGCTTCACCGGTTGCTCGATGGTGCTGCAGTGCCAGGACGCTGGCTGTGGATGGCGCTTGGGCTTTGATCGCCCCTTCCGTGCGGTTTGGCAGAGGTTCTGGCACCTCGCCGACGAGCTGGGGGACGGGGCCATCCAGTTCGCGATGGTGACGGCCCACGCGACGCTCGAGGACGCGAGGCATGGCCGCATCGCAGACTGGCAGCGGCTTGGCAACCACATGGTGGCCAAGAAGGCCAATGAGACGGCGGCGATGCACCCCTTCGCCGACGAGCAGCTGGCGCGCGCGGATGTGGCCGGCTGCCTGGCGGGCAGGGTTGCACCGTGGATTGTCCGCGCGGCGCAGATCGGTGAGGAAGCGCTGCTGGCGGCTGACGGAACCAGGCATCCTGGCCTGGTAGCAGTGAGGTGCTAAGAGGAGGGCTTCAAGCAGCGACGGGAGAGGGTGCGCGAGGTGCGATGCCCATCCTGCCGCGGGGCCCCCTGCCGCCACCACGGGTCGGCGCTGACAGTGGGCGGCGGCTGGGCGTGGGCGTGCGCGGTGTGCATGGACTTCGGCGAGCCCACAATCGGCGGCACCAGCGCGACCTCGGGAGGATTTCGCGGCGACGGAGGACGAGGCGTGGCGGCAGCAGCGGCGGCCCATGCCGGGGCGGCCACGGCGCTGGCAGCGGCGAGTGCCGACGGCGACGGGGGAGCCAGCGCGGCAGTCGAGGCCGAGGAGGGTGGCCAACGCCACGCGGGGCACGCGGCGCCACCGCCGCCGCCGCCGCCACCGCCCACGGCGAAGCTGGCCTGGTGGAGCCGCCCCGTGCACGAGTCGCAAATTCTTGGGTAGGCTGGCGACGCGGCGTTCTGGTCCATGTGCGGCGCCGTCGCGTTCGGTGCCAGGATGCCTGGACTCGTCGCGGCCTGCCCTGGAGGACCGCGGGGAGATCGAACGAAGGCGGTGAGGGACCGCCTCAAGCGGGGTGAGCGGATACCTCGGCGTGTTCAAGCCTTCAGCGCGTGCGAGGGAGCGCGGGCGCAGCCGTTCGCCCGCGTGAGACTGGGTGAAAAGATGCTGCGCGCTCTCTCACTTCCTTTTCGTCGTCGCATATTTCGTGGGGCGAGGCTGTTGCCCCCCCCCCTCGGGTGTGCACTACCAGCGGGAGGCAAGCCCTTCCCGGGTGTCGAGTGGCCCAGGGAATGGGCAGTGCGGTGCCTGGCTTGTGACTGGAGGCAGGGACCCCCAATCTCGGCGGCGTGAGTGCGTATGTGACTGCGCGCTTCGCTGGGGGAGCCTGGTGACCTCGTGTCCGTTCCCTCTCGGTGCAGGGCTTCTTTAGGAGCGTGGACTCAGATGGCTGAAGGGGTATAAGCTCTCACCCTCCCCCGTCGTCGTTATCATCATTCGCATGTTCCCCATCATCATCACCACCCACCATCAGCATCCGCATCTCAGCACGATCATCGTAACCCACATCATTGCAAGTATCACCATCCTCATCCTCATCCTCTTCATCACCACTACCATCAGCATCAGCATCACTACCATCATCGTTACCCCCTCCTCCTCCTGCTCCTACGTATCTTCCTCTTCCTCCTCTTCCTCCTCCTCCTCCTCCTGCTCTGCCTCCTCCTCCCCTTACCATCCCCTTCCTCCTCCTCATCCTCCTTTTCCTCCTCATCCTGCTCTTCCCTCCTCGTCCCTGGCCTTCATCGGCG